TGTAAAATTGTCATGCATGATTTCATTTAGGGGGTTATCTAAGTTAAAGAAACAACTAACAAACCTTCATCAAGGGTCAGTTTCGTTCCTGTTTAGTAATTTTGTATCTCAAGTTCTCAACAAGAATGCATGAGCATGCAACAAGGGTTAGATCCTATGATTTGAAGATAAAATAAGAAAGGGAAATAGCTGCTCTTAATATTGCCTGCCCTGCTCCCCCCTTCTATTGCTCCCGTGCTGCTGTTCCCCACTTTTTTTGCTGCTCCCCTGCAGCTTCTCCCCCCTGCTGCCTGTTGTTTGCTGCTCCTTGCATTCTGCTTGTATACCCCCCCATTCTGCCACGTGGCTGTTTCTGTTGATGTGTCAGGCGACGTGGCTGTCTGAAATGGCGATTGTGTGTTGGTCTTTGCATGTGCGCGGTTCGGTTTGTACACTATGTTGTCGAGTTGTTACTATATTTACACAGTTTATTGAGTTACCAAATTTCTATCCTAATTATGTATTTAATTAATTAGCTCCTATAAATGTAAATAAAATATTATTTACTTAATATCTCGTCATGCAAATATGTATTTTATACCCTTCTAGGCTTCTTTTGCAGTAATTTGCAATACTTTGCAGATTGCTAGTTTCCTCAAATTGATGAAGTAATAACAGAGTGTGCGCTATGAAGCCCAACAAGGCCACAAGCCAACAAATGTAGCTAGGCGGAAGGAATCAACAAAGTTGTAGGCATAGTTTATGTGTTTTTGTGTATTTGTATTTTTAGTCTTTTTCTTATAACTCATTCCCTTATATAGTTGTTTTATTATGGTAACGTTGTAAAACTCTTTATCAGATCTTGAATATTAATAAAAAATTACAATTATTTAATAAACTATTTATAATACAATTTTTGATGTTAAATTTTATGAAACACATTTTAAGTTATGCTGGATGAAATTGTATATTGCAGAAAAATATTAACAAAGATAAGAAATTATTGCTAATAAAAATATTTGGAATATAGTGGCAAATAACAATCAATAGCACAACTTTTATAGCGGTTTTAATCCGCTGTAAATGAAGATTTTAATGGAATCCTAAAAGCACATTTTATAGCGGTTATATGAACTATTGTAAAAAGCTCATTTTCACTTTTATACAAAACAATTAATAGCGGTCCATAAATCGCTATAAAAAGCATTTTTAACCGCTGTACAAAGTAATTTTTGTTATAGTGACCTGTACGGCTTGCTGATCACCTCAATGTTTCTGATTGTTTCTATAATACGTAACTGGAAGAAAGTACTTGTCAGCAAATTCAAGGCCAAGATTAAGTTTAGTTGATCTTTTTAGTTAACACTTCTTAGGCATGGCAAATAGAGCTCTTGGGGAAGAATTTGCATTACCGAGAATTCTTTGGTTAACCAAGGAGGCTATTGTGGGTGGGGATGTCTATCGATGGCATTCCTCAACAAATTGGAGGTTAATATTTCGGTGTCATTGCGCGAATCTTTGTTGTGGATATTATGTGAGAATAGTTTTTGATAGATGGCCAGCCTTTAAGTATTTTTTTCGGTCTAAAGAGTTGTACCCTTGATTGTTTCAATGAAACCCTACGTTGTTTCAGTAGAATCTTACAATAATTTAATAGAACGCTTCCAATTCAATATAAATAGTTGTATCCTTCATTATTTCAATGGAACCCTACAGTGTTTCAGTAGAACCCTACAATAATTCAGTAAATCATTGGATCCCTTCCAATCCAGTCTAAGTAGTTGTACTCTTCATTGTTTCAATAGAACCCTACTATATTTCAGTAGAACCCCAATAATAATCTAGTGGATCCCTTCCAATTCAGTGTAAAGAGTTGTACTCTTGATTGTTTCAAAGGAACCCTACTATACTTTAGTGGAACCCTTAATTTAGGGTATAGATTTATACCCTTCATTCTATTTTAAGTTGATCCAAACCAAAAAACAATGAACAGTAGCTTCAATGAATAATGAACAATAGCTTCAAATTTAACATAAACCTTTAATATACCAAACAAGAAGTTAAATCAATAGATGACTCCTTGTAATATCAAATCTAATAGATTTTCACGTCAAGTTTAATGGTCCAAACACAAACAACATGTTTGTCAATATTCTTAAGATTTTTTATTCTCTATGTTTAAAACGATCTATATCAATATTCTTAAGATACTGGTTTTAACTTCTTACCCACAAAAACATAATCACACTTGCCTTAGTACAAAAAATAAAATTTACCCTAAACATAATCGAAGAGTTGTACCCTTAATTGTTTCATTGGAACCCTACATTATTTTAGTGGAACCTTTCATTGTACAAGTAAAACCCTGCAAACATAGTCGAAGAGTTGTACCCTTCATTGTTTCAATGGAACCCTACATTATATTAGTGGAACCCTTAATCGTTGCAATGGAACCCTACAATGTTTTAGTGGATCCCTTCATTGTGTGAGTGTAATCTTGCAATTCACCCTATAGAGTCATACCCTTATTTGTTTAAGTGGAATCCTACAATATTTAAGTGGAACCCTAAAATGTTTAAGTGAAACGTTTCCCTTGTACACGTATGTCAATGCAAAACTTTGACTGAAAATATGTTTCATTATCAATAAGTTAAAATTATAACAATTGAACATTAATAAATTATTCATTTAGACGATTCCAACAAGTACCCACATGACTATATTTATTTTTATGTATAATCACAAACATCAGTCAAAGAGAATTAGATGAATAGTGCAAAAAGTCAAAACATTTTATTTATTTAAACACGGAGGGAGTAAAAAAAAAATGTCATAATCGCTTCCTTGGAAAATACTTTGACTAATTATGCACTATTCAATCACTATTTCTGACTTACTTTGCCTGGAATAAAATAAATAAATGTCATTTGATTACTCATAAATGTCACCATTTATTTATGTAATATACTTCCTCCGTTCTAGTAATATTGCAACAACTGGACTTTTGCACTATTCATCATGCTTGTTTGACCACAAATTATGATTTATACGTCAAATAAAACATAGTCATGTGGGGTCTTGTTAAATTCGTCTCGTAAAATAATTTCACAATATCAACTTTTTATAATTTTTACTCTTATATAATTATAGATATTTAACATATAAAATATGCTTTGGGATGCGTAATTTCATCCTTGTTGCAATATTTGTGGAGCAGAGGAAGTATAATTTTATTACTCATAAATGGCACGATTTATTAATGTAATATATCATTTGATTACTCATTATAGCTTTTTCCATACAAAAGGGTACGATTAAATCGCAAAAGGGTACCACTAACTTACAGAAGGGTACCACTGATAATCTAATATTATACTTGATTAAACTATTATTCAAAATACAAGAGCATATGGTAGATAAGAACTAAGTACCATTTAATTGAAAGGGTTCTATTATAATATCGTAAGATACAATTGAAACACATACATCATTGAGTAAAACAAAAGTACACTTGGCCTCCACGAGGGTACCATTGGCACCTACTAAGGTACCACCATAGCCGTAAATTCCCATAGAAAAAAAAAAAAAAAAAAAGAAGAAGAAGAGATATTTAGGGTCTTTATTAAATGCTATTATTCCAAATTAGTACAACGTGCACACACTCTAATGTTCAATTAAGTATTTTGTATGCTATCATAGATTTTTTTTTTTTTTTTTTTTTGTTTCATATTAAACTCAAAAAGTAGAATTTGTTAAAACACAAAGTTGAAAAGTGAAATGAGGCAAAAAAAAAAAAAAAAAAAAAAAAAGGCATAGAGAATATAAGCCATCATATTATATGAAGGAAACGATTGGACTAAATTAGATTAGAACTAACCCAACTTATATATGATAAAACACTTAATAACTAATTACAATTCACTCAACTTGCCAACGATACAAACCTAGTAGATTCAACCGATGATTAGAGCATTTTAAAAAATCTGAACCAATTCCAAATAACCCAATAACAGCACCATTAGACTCCATACATTACAAATTAAATCTATTAAATTTAACATGCCTACCCCATGCTTAGAACCAAAAACAACTATTAGGTAGATTTATAGATAGATTTTCCCTTATTAATCTTATAGGATTACACTACACATCATTATCCAAGGGTACTACTGACATAAATAATGGTACCATTGACATTGTTAATAATGAAACTATTAAAAATGTACCACTGAGATATATGCTAACAATGCCCTGTACTAACATTTTCAAGCTAAGTTCACATTGTTTGCATCCAAAATTAACTAGTACCCAAAAAAAAACATACTCCCTCAAATTTTTTTTTAAATGCAACTTTGGGGCCTTACGCGGTTCACGATGCAAAAGTTAAGGGGTATGTGAAAGTGAGGTTAATTGAAGTTGATTAAAGTGTGTAGAAAGAGAAAGTTTGGCCCACCACTTGGTAAAGTAGTGGGTAAAATAATTTAAAGTAGTGTGTAGAGAGATAATGTTTGGCCCACCATTTGGTAAAGTAGTAATTTTAAGGGTTTTTGTTTACCCAAAATAGAAATAAAATAGAAAGTTGTATTTAATTAAAATCGGACTAAAATAGCAAAAGTTGCAATTAAAAAAAATCAGAGGGAGTATTTACATGAACAACATTTACTAGTAGAATCGCAGCATAAAGTGACTTATGACTCCGGAGCATAAAGTATGCATGAACCGGAGCATAAAACCTCTTATGCTCCGGGTCAAGGCTAAAAACCGGAGTATTAAATTGTTATATGCTCCCGTTTTGTGTGTAAACCGAAAACCAAAAAAAAAAAAAAAAATCAATACAGAAACTGGCTTGCTACCTCCGTCAACAGTTATTTGCAACATTTGCCATAAACGGATGCTACCTATTATTTACAACAAATGTATTTTTTTCCTCTTTTAGTAAGTTTTTTTTTATATAGAATGACCAAACTGTCCTCACTTAACCAACTTACTCCCTTAATCATTTCACTAACCATACTCTATTATAACCCTCTTAACTCATTTAATCTTAAAAAGAAAAAAAAAAAAAAAAACAGATCTTAAAAAAAAAAAATCAAATCTCTCAACATTCATCTTATTCATTAAATTTCTCTCTCCTCCTTCATCATCAAAATCTCACTCCTCCTTCATCTTCCCCATCTTCTGTCCAGATCTAGAGGTAGTCTCTCGTGGGTTTCGTGGGTGTGGTGGTTGTGGGCGGCACGAGTTTCGTGGATGGTGGTCTAGGTTTTGTGGGTTTCGAGGGTGGATCTAGGTGTCAGTGGTTGTGGGTCTGGGTTTAGGTCTAGGTTTTGTGATGGTTGATTTCCGAGGGTGGTAGGTGGCGTGGTGTTCGGTTTCATGGTGGTGGTGGTTTAATTGTAATTAATTCAATTCGTGGTGTTGGTGATTTAATTGGGGCTTTCGGGGTTTTGGTGGTAGTTTTCGGTGGGTTAGTGTAATTTGGTGTGTTTTGGTGGTTTCCGGTGGGTTTTGGTAGTTTTCAGTGGGTTTTGGTGGTAGTTTCCAGGGGGTTCGTGGGTGTTGGTGGTTTTCGATGGGTTCTGGCCAGGGTTTTCAGTGGGTTTGGTGGTGGTGGTGGTTTACGGTGGGTTCGGTGGTGGTGATTATGGGTTTTGGGTTTAGTTGTTTAGTGGTTCTGATTAATTGTGGGGTTTTTTTTTATTGGATTAGTGTTTAAGTACATGCCCTTATATTTCAATAATCATGTTTAAGAACTTTTGCCTAGGAGTCCGTACTACCCCTTTGTTGCAAATAATTGTTAACGGAGGTAGTATATACATAAAAGTACTAATACTCTTTGTAATTTCTGTAAATAATATAGATTATTAAATATTAACTATGCAAAGAGTATAAATGAGGTAGCAGCAGTTCAACACCACCGCAGGTCAGCAGCCATGCAGTCTATCAGACAAGTTTACAGGTGCAGATTCTTTAACAATGTTGGCAAGTTAGTAGGATCGAGAACCCCTCCATTCTCCGTCAATGTAGACTTGATAAACATAGTGGATAATCCAAATGTCCTGTATTTAATTTAGAGATTAAAATTGATCTATCATACTCACAATATGTATTTAATTTAGAATACATCATTAAATTTGAATATCGAGCATATAAGAAAGAGCAAAAGGTCATGAACTATAAAAGTAATTAAAGACTTGATACGATTCTTCGAAACTTACTTCATATAAGAAAGACTTCTCATTAAGAATTGGACATGTCAAGCACAATTCCACAACCATACCAATATTCATCATCAAATTATAAACAGATTGCTTGACAAATAATCATGAGCTAAAAAACACTAAATTTACCAGCATACGAAACTAATACGCAAGTAGACATGATCAAAATGTCTAATCAACCAGCAACTATCATAAATAGAAAACATAAACATTCATAAATCCAAAAATTAACATGCATAAACCATATATTGTACGATTGTTCGGAGAATGTATAGTTTGAGCTTCTAAGCTCATCAAAATTCCAAGGAGAACGCATTATAACTATATAGCATTTGAATAGAAGACAATATCAACTAAAAATCAAGTCGTAAAATACCGACACACAAACAAAATACATGGCCTGCATTAGACACTAATCCCTACATAAGAGGCACATAGAGGGCTCTAATATTCCCATGATACACATAACCCAAATACTGAACCTGCCTCTAGGAATGCAATCAACCATAAAATTACAACATTACAACTGCTTATTATTGCAGAGAATAGGAAGAAACCCATAGAAAAAAAACAGATCTAAAGCTCACCAAGTCACCAAATATAAACCAAACCCCAAATGACCATAATATATTCCCTTGTCAAAGCAATAATTTCTTTTACTTGAAAATGAAGTGTGGAGATTATTTTAAAGCATCTTAAAATAGTAAGTGTCAAATTAGTTGTGGAGCAGAGAGTGTAGGATGAACAAGCACTAATCATATCTATGGCATCATAATAAATAAATTACTATGTATAATCCTAAAGACTTGAATAGAGTTGCCACTTCCCATTTTTGTGACACAGACAAGCAGGATCTCATGAATATTAGAAGAAATAGTGCATCAATTTCACACTCTTCAATGAGTTGATGAGGAAATAAGACAATACCAGGCCTCATAGAATCACAGCCTGCTTTAAACAGGTGAAAGGGGTATTGATGAACATATTGAAAGGCAAAGACCAAAAATCATCATAGGCTGATAATCTTAACGTGCAAATCACAAAGCACTTGAATTTTACCAACCAGATTAAAACTCTAAACGCAATAAACCAGCAAAATGATTCAAATCTTTGATAGAAATGCGATAATTTCACGATCCATGGGAAACAATAATTAAATTCAATGGGTAATCAATTTTACCATATTTACGAATCTAATCCCAAAACTTAGAACTGGGTTTTATTCAGAATCAAATTTTGAGAAATGGGTGATCAATTTATATGTAATCCCAAAATTAATGGATCAAAAAGTAGGATTTCCCAAATTAATTATTGCCAAATTAAACTATCAAATTTCCCAAATTAAAAGTAGGAAAAAAATAATCAAATTAAACCATCAAAATTCACATCTATTATCACGGATCAAAATTATCAAATTTCCAAAATTAATTATTGCCAAAACCTAATTACACAAGCACAATCGTCTTCATCATCTTGTTGCTTCCCTTGTTTCGGGTACTGGGTCTTCAATGGCGGCGGTCTTGTCGCCATCCAATACAACGCCAGTACCACCGGAATCACTTTCCCCGAATTCATCACAAAAATTTGAGAAACCGTTTGTTAAAATCGAGTCTTCCATCACCAACATCTTCCTCGCCATTTTCAAACATTAATTCTTGAGCTTGTGTGCCTCAACATCACTAGAGAAAAATGGTGAACATAAAGAAAAGAGAACAAAAAGTAATCAAAAGAAAAAGGGTGAACAGAAAGAAAGGAAATCAAAAAGTAATTTTGTATTGTACGCTCTCCCATATACAAGCTTTTTCCTTTATTTTCTCTAAGATGTTCACTTTTTACTGTTTTAAGGGTCCCACCCCGTTTTTTTTTTCCTCCAAACTAACCCCATTTACTTGATACGTATTTCTACAGATATATCAAGACTTCATTACTACTTCCTCCATGGGACCACTAAAAGACGTGGAAAATACTGTTTTGCCCTCATAAAAAACTAATTTCATATCTCAATAAGAAGGGATAAACCTCCCCTCCTTATGACCTTACACTCCCTCCATAAATAGAGTCGAAGGTATCTCTATTATTTCTACTCCATTTTTCTCGAACAAATAAAATTACAAGAGATTTACAAAAAAAAAAAAAAAAAAAAAAAAATGGTTAAACAACTCCACATTGTGATGTTTCCATGGTTTGCCGTGGGACATATGACTCCTTTTCTTCACCTTGCTAACAAACTTGCCGAAAGAGGCCACAAAATCACCTTCTTACTTCCTAACAAAGCCAAGCTTCAATTACAACATTTTGTGCTTTACCCAAATCTTATCACCCTTCACCCTATCACGGTCCCTCACGTCCACCCTCTTCCTTTCGGGACCGAAACCGCCTCCGACATCCACATTAATCTTAACGGTCATCTTGCCACCGCTTTCGACCTCACTCGTCCTGAGTTCGAGAGCGTGATCATAGGCCTTACCCCCAAACCCCACCTCTTTTTTTACGATATCGCCCATTGGGCGTCCGAGGTCGCCGCTAGGCTCAGGATTACGTCCGTTAATTATAATGTGGTTTGTGCTGCATCCCTTGCGATTGCTTTGGTCCCGGCCCGTAACTTGCCCCGGGATCGACCTCTTATTGAGGAGGACGTAGCCCGGCCTCCTTCGGGCTACCCCTCCTCTAATGTTGTCTTACACGGGCCTGAGGCCCGTAGCTTGCTCTTCTTAGGGACGGACTTTGGCAGCGGGCTCACCTTTTACGAACGAATTACTACTGCATTGAAGTCATGTGACGCCATTGCCATTAGAACCTGCCGTGAGATTGAAGGCAACTTTTGTGATTACGTGTCGGCCCAATACAACAAGCCCGTGATCCTCACCGGCCCGGTACTTCCAGAAAACGACAACAGTAACAGCCCACTTGAAGCCCAATGGGCCGATTGGTTGGGCGGGTTTGGGACGGGCTCGGTTGTGTTCTGTGCCTTTGGGAGTCAGTTTATCCTTGAGAGGGATCAGTTCCAAGAGCTACTCCTAGGGTTTGAAATGACAAAACTACCCTTCCTAGTGGCACTGAAGCCACCCAATGGGTGCGCGACCATCGAGGAGGCGCTCCCCGAGGGGTTCAAGGAGAGAGTAGGAGATAGGGGTGTGGTGCACGGTGGATGGGTGCAACAGCCTCAAATACTAGAACACCCATCAGTAGGGTGCTTTGTGAACCATTGTGGGTTTGGTTCGATGTGGGAGAGTTTGATGGCGGCGAGTCAGATAGTGTTGGTGCCGCAATTGGGTGACCAAATATTGAACACAAGGTTGATGGCAGGGGAGCTAAAGGTGGCTGTAGAGGTGGAGAAGGCAGAGAATGGGTGGGTGTCTAAGGAAAGTTTGTGTAATGCTATTAAGTTAGTGATGGATGAGAAGAGTGAAGTGGGGTGTTTGATTAAAAATAATCATGTTAAGTGGAGACAAATTATGATTAGCCATGGATTTATGAAGGGTTACATTGATAATTTTATTATGGATTTGGAGAAGATTATGACTTGATTTGGTACCTAATTTAAGATCTAAATGTTTGGTCTAAGATAAGAAATCTCCCTCCATTATTAAATAAGTGCATATATAGATCACTTGGTTGATAAGCATATACTTATATTAGGAGGGTTAATATTGTTGAGTGTCCCTTTGTTCTTAAGCCAATACTCCGTCCGTTTTTTTGATAAGTGTTATATTTTGATTTTTGTACTATTTATTTACAACACTTTGAATAAGGTTTATGCTTAATAAATTAGGTCATGTGTGTAATTGTAAGATTCGTCTTAATGTATATTTTTTAAATATTAAATTTTTACAATTTATTACTTCATATACTTTTTGCTAATTAAAAATATTATTAGTCAAGATAATGCGTTGGCAAATATATCGGTCAAAATGGAGCATTTAACTTGTCAAAAAACGGAGGAAGTGTATCAGTTGATTGATACACTTGCAAAGACTGTACTTTCACAACTTACAAAAGTGACTATTTTACAACGGTCAAAAAACCGTCGCTAATATTATAAATTTTGTTGTAAAAAATGCCAACGAGGACCTTCCGTCGTAATTTGGCTGTTGTACCACGGGTTGTCGTAAAAATGGTCTTGTACAAGTGTACAACGTTTGTTTCCATCGTACAATTTACGTTCATTGGAACCTAAAATGTTTAGTTTATTGTTTCAAGTTAACATCGTATACCCTGACACCCACGAGATGCATGACCCGTGATTCCACTCGAAATACTACGTACCTTTTTAGAGAAGAGAGAAAGAGAGGATGGTACCAATGACCTAGACTTTAGAGGTTAATACTCTCACCACTAGTCTACAGGGAAAGCTGATGAAATACTACGTACCACTCTACCAGTATAAAGAAAAAAATTTGTTAAACATCGCCCATAAATCTCTACATAAAGCCCATAATTATTTTTACTTTGACTCTTTTGTCCTTTTTCTAATTTTTATCGAAACCGTAATTCACTCTCACGAAGAATGTGGAGTTGGAGTGGATTGCCGAGGGACACTGGAAAGCCGTCATCGTCGCCGGAAAGCGAGATAATCCGGAGAAAAAATTACGAAAAGTAGGGGTGGCATCTGGCCGGAACGCCGCAACCGTGGCAGTGGCGCCTGGCCAGGACGCCAACACCATGGCAGTGGCACCTGGTCAGGATGCCCTGGCCGGACGCCAACACTATGGCAGTGGTGCCTGGCCAGGACCCGCCACCATGGCGGTGGCGGCGTCCTGGCCAGACGCCACTCCTACTTTTTGTAATTTTTTTTTTATTTTTTTTTAAAATTTTATTTAAACTTTTTGTAATTTTTTTTTGTTTTCTTTTTTTTTTGTAATTTTATTTAAACTTTTTGTAATTTTTTTTTATTTTATTTAATGTTTTTTTAATTTTTTTTTGGTAGTTTTTTAACTTTGATAAATTTGAAATTAAATATACGTTAATAAGTTATGTTAAAAAATAATTGTTTTAATATGAAATTATGTTTTAAATATGTGTTAATAAAATTATGTTTAATTTTGTATGTGTAAATTATATATAGAAATGAAATTTACAAATAAAATTTTTAGAAATTACTTATGTTAATTTTGTGTTAAATGTATTAATTTAATCTTTATATAATTATATGTATTTGAAAATAATATGGTATAGTAGGAGTTTTGTACATGATGATCCCTTCGAAGATGCTCAACAAGCGATTGATTGGGCAAAATAAGTTGCAATTAGATCTGATTTTTGTTTAGTAGTAGCAACTCAGAAATCTCTCAAGGACTCTAGACGGCAACATGGTATGATGTATTGTCATTTCATATTTAAGAAATTCCATAAAATTGAAACCCAATCTATCCAGGCCAATTCTTGAGTTCATAGCGCAAAACCCAGCCGAGAAAATGAAAAAGGAGGATCTGAGTAATAAAACAAAACCAAATTAAATGAAATCCTGCAACATTTGAGATTGTCAGTCAATTAGACTAAAACCCAAAATAATTGAAACGTAAATCAACTAAAACGCTCAATAAACCCCATGCACGCAACATGCCATACAGTTAAACCCTAGATTTAAATACAATGGCTTTCTACTACTACATAATAAATAAAAATTCAATGTAATTTCACAACAAATCAATAAAACCAAGTATATCTGAATGATATTCAAGCACAAAAGCAAGGAAATTGATTAGAAAAAGAACGATATTACCATAAATTGAAGAAATTAACAAGCAGCGGAAGAAATTTAACACGACTTCAATTCGACCCAAATTCGGTAAATTTAACTACAAATGTTACAAACTTAAACGATAATGTCAGATTTTACAAACTACTATGATAATGTACAAAATGTTCTATAAATAACCGGCAACAGATCAGTAATCCCTCTTTGACGCCCACTGCCACTGCGCAAGGTCCTCGAACGTTTTCTGCTTACCGCAGACATAGTGGACGTAGATGATGTGCCCGATCTACTAACAAATCTACCATCTCTACCCTTACGCACATCTACCCTATGCGTCTCATACATATCATCAAGCCTCTGACTCAATGAACCGTAATCATCATATGGTCCACTCTGATCGTACACATCCTCGTCTGCGTCCTCCTCCTCCTCCTCAACATCATCATCTTCATCCTCCTTAGGATGGTGAACCCGTTCTCTACGAGCCGAGGCCGAAATACCACCCGATCTAACGAAAATGTGATGCCTAACTCCATTAAAAAAATTAAAATATATATAAACATAAAAAAAATTAAAAAAAAATAACGAACCAAAAAAAATATCAAATAAACAAAAATAATACTAACAAATTGACATAAAAAAAATTAACAAAACACTGCAAAATAAATAAAAACAAATAAATACAAAATAAAAAGAAAAAAATTACCACAACATACAAATATAAACATAGAAAAAAATTAAAAAAAAACAAATAAAATACAACAGAATTGGAAAAAAAATTAAAAAAAAAATACAAATAATTGAAAAGTAAATATAAACATAACAAAAATACAGCAAATTTGAAAAAAATATAAAAATAAACAAAAAAAATATAAACATAAACCAAAAAAAAAAATTACAGAAAACTAAAAAAAATAAACATAAACATAAACAAAAAAATAATAAAAAAAAGGGTGGCGGCGCCCAGGCCAGACGCCAGCCCCACGGCGGCGGCGCCCTCGCAAAACGCCACCACCGTGGCCCTGGCGTCTCGCCGAGCCGCCGCCGCTGTGGGGCTAGCGTCTGGCTTGGGCGCCGCCACCGTGGCCACGGTGTCCTGGCCAGGCGCCCTGCCCTCTTCCAGTTTTTTTTTTTTTTTTTTTTTAAATTTAAAAAAAAAATTACCTTGCCACCGTGACCGCCTTCCTCCGCCTTCGCCGTCGCCAATTCCTTGCGGTAGAAAGAAAATGGGTGAGCGGTTGGGTGATGAGAGTTTGTGAGTGTTTTTTATTTAATATTAAGGGCAAAATTGTCAATTCAATGAAAATTTGTGGGCTTTATGTGGAGATTTGCGGGCGATGTTTAGCAATCCACTAAAGAAAATGTGAAGAATGTCACTATCAAGCTATCAAGCAGGGCATTGCATTAAAAAAGTAGGTACCAAATTTGCTGAGTAGCAATCACTTCTCCATTTCTACTCAGTACGTTACTTTAATAAAATTTTATATTTTACCACCCATAATATCACAAATTTGATATTCCAGGAAAAAAAAAATTATTTTAAAATATCACCCCTTAAATTAAATAAATGTTGTGAAAAAAAGGGATTGGAGAGAAAATTGGAGAGAGAATACAATACCTAGGGTTTTCTTAGAAAACAATAAACCGTAAACTTAGAATATTCCAGAGTGTATAGGAATATAATGGGCATCCCCACAATATTTCATAAAACTCTCCCTTGGATGTCCATTATTGAAGATTGTGCCTCATTAAAATCTTAGTATGAAAAACCCTATAGGATGAAAACATAGTGAAGGAAATAGAGTACATCATTCTTCGTAATACGCTTGCAATGCTGCCTCATTAAAAACCTTACCAGGAAAACCCAATTTGGGACAAAACCATGGTCAAGGGAAAAATAGTGCATCACGTATTTCTCCCCCTGATGAATACATAACGTGAAATCTTCTCGTGCAATAAATCCGACGCGATATGGTTGGGTAACTTCTACCCTGTAATAGAACACCATATCTTGATAATTGATCATTTCAAATTGAACTTGAATCTTCAAATCTTCACGTGAACAAGTGAGACGTCTTCAATTTCACCATATTTATGATGATAATACATGTGTTTGTCCACATCTCATTCGAAATCTCTGTTTAAATTAAAGTTGCCTTCTTCTGGAGGCCAATCGACATATTTAGTAGAGATTTGATGATCTTGATCATAACTTATGGCAATACGTGATATCATTGTCCAATTTTATATGAATTAGTGATATAAGTGTTGAAGCTTAAGAGTTTTGATGGTGATGAATAAAAGTAAACTTCAACTAATGTGATTTCTCTAAGTGTTGTTAGAACAGGTGAAGTTGACTGTGGAAGTGGAAGAGTAATTTGACTATGAAGACACAAGGAGACTCCAAGGAAAGTTAAGGAAAGTAGAAGAAGAGTTCCTCAGTGGAACTAACTGAGTTCCCTAACAGGAACATGAAGAGAAGCTCTCTAACAGGAGCTTGATAGCAAGATGAGAAGATTGACTTGGTTTGCGTTGAAGACAGCAAGTTCCATGAGAACTTGGTCTCCGAAGTTCCAGCTAGGAGCTGGAGAGTGAAGGACAGCAAGAACTCAATCCCGGACTACGTGAAGCCCAAGTATCCTAAACAATACAGAGTATGATGAGATAATCTAGCTAGAGTATTTAAGTCTTTTTGTTAAGTTTATTCATCTAAGAATTATTGTAAATATGTTAGGTTAGTTTATGCATGGTATTTATTAGAAGCTTGACAAAGCTTGGCAAGCTTTAAAAATGGAAAGTTTATAAAAGTAATTTATGAAAAAAATTTCTAAAGATTTTATTTTATAAAATCCGGTTTTACAAATCAGTATTCTTTTCATATATTATATCTTTGATAAATTTTCTAAAAAGATTTCCTTTGTCCAAGAATTTAAAACTTAAAAAAGGTTAGCGTTTAATGTACATTTAACATGATTAAATTCTTAATTCAAAATCAATATACTATGATCATCACATAATTCAACAGAGATTGATGATGAAACCACCAACTGATTTCATTCTCCAAAATTATAGTTATTCAAATAAGACAAATTAGTCGGAACAAATCAATAGTTATCCATATTCAAATACGACAACTTAGCTGA